AACCTTTTCAAATGCAGCATTGCAAGTGAACCCCAAATCCGAGTAGTCATTTCCCATTATGTGATCACTTACTCCCATACATTTCAGGTTGGCTGAAATCAAGAATCCAACTATTTTCAGACTGGTAACCTGCTTGAAAGACAAAAAAAAGGAAAAAGAGAACTCTGCATTTTTAGTATATGTTTGGAAAAATGATGTTATCCTTGAGATGATAGGTTACTCTGAAAAAATCCCTTTCTGCATTATCAGCCTAGCCTACAAAGAGGTAAAGAAGAGGTGAGAAGAGATTATAGTGGGAAAAAAATCCTTATTTCCAGCTGTTTCCAGCAATGAGCACATCATTACTATTAGATTTCTGAGAAAAAAAAATGCAGTGTACAAATAATACCTTTACAATGGCTTTACAATGTGTGCTCCATATTAAAAAAAGGCATGCTAGYGTTCGTTTGGTTAATGAAATCCCGTTTTCATTCATCGGCATAACCCTTGGTTGATATTGGTCAGTTACATCTCACCGATCTTTTCTTTTATTTCCTTCCACAGCCTATGCATACTACTTGTCTCTATTTAAGCTCTATGTACCATGCATTGCATACCAATTTGTATTGTGACACACTAGAGCTTGAAGAAAACCAGATTTTTCCTGCTGCACTCTGTAATATCAACTTGCTGGAGATCAAAAATATCACAGACGGCTTTGACTACATTGCAGGGCTACCAGGTGACTAAGTATATTTGAAAGAGGCTTTCGCCGGGTTTCCATTTTCTCTCTGTAAATAAAATACTGAAAAATCTGGCTGTACMGAGGACACTGGAACACAGGAAAATATCATGAGCTGCCTCACCTCCGAGTACATCCCTCCCTCCTGCCATTACTAGAGCTATTATGGATAATAAGCCTGATAACTTAATGCAAAGCAAACGGGATCAGGAAGTTTTGCTTCATTAGAAATAGAATCTGTGTCTTCCACCCCAAAAGGAAAAAAGAAAGGAAAAAAAAAAACAAGTTTTGCCACATGCTGCTGCATTCCCTTTGCTCGCTCCTGAACAGAGGCGCTGATAGAAATCTGCAAAGTCACTTTGAAGTAAGAACTAGTTGATTCTGGGGGGAAAACGCTGTAATTAGCCGGAGAGCCGGAGGGCTCCGGGGCACGGGCCCGTGGCCACGGCCCCGATGCGGGGAGCCCACGTGGGAACGCAGCGCCCTTCCCCTCGCACCCCCCCCTCCCCCGGCCGCACGGATGTGGGGGCCACGCGTGGGCAGCCCCTTCCTCCCGTGCGGCGCACACGGGGCCAGTCCCTTCCTCCTCCTCCTCCTCCAGCGGGGATCGCGTTTTTCCAGGCGGCTTTAGCGCTGCGCGCTAATATATATTGAAACATAAAGGCGGCGGCAAAGGCAGGAGCGGCGGAGGCCCCGGCGCACAAAGCTCCGCCGCAGGCCGGACGTGCCCGCGGCCCCGCCGCCCCTCCCCCGCCGCGTTCCGGGAAGCTCCTCGCGGCGGCGGCGCGGAGCAGCCCCGGGGCAGGTGGGAGGGAGGGAGGCCGGGCTGCCCCGTCCCGCTCCCTTCCTTCCTTCCTTCCTCCTCCTGCTGCGGGCCGCAGCCCCTTGGCAGGGAGGGAGCGTGGGGGGGGGGGGGGGTCGGGCCCACCTGCCCCGTGGGCAGGGCAGGGGCGGGCGGCGAGGGGACGGGACGGGACGGGAGGGGCGCGCGCGTGGGGCGCGGGCCGCGCGCGGGTACCTTGCGCTTCCTGGTCTCGGCCGAGCCGCTCCACACGAAGCACTGGTAGATCGCCCGCAGGTTCTGCTTCCAGTTCTCCACCTTGAAGCCGGTCACATGGCAGCACCCGGCCGCCGGCGGACTCATGTCAGACCCCCCCACATCAATCCGCCCGCACACGGGCCGGGCCGGCGGGCAGCGAGCCGGCCCCTTCCCCCGCTCCGCAGCGGCGGCGGCGGCGGCGCCCGCGCGGACACGGGCCGGGGCGGCCGCGCGCCCCCTCCCCCCGCCGCGCGCCCACCCACCCGCGGGGGCTCCGGCCCCTCAGGCCGCCGGCGGCCGCGCGGCCTCGGCCGCCCCCGCAGGCGGCTGTGGGGGCGCGGGCAGCGGCTCGCGCATAGAGCCGGGGCTCCCCGCCGCCACGGCCCCCCGGCTCCGAACAAAGCGCGGCGGCGGCGGGCGGGCGGGCAGCGCTCCCTCCCTCTCGCTCGCTCGCTCTCTCTCTCCCTCACACACACAAAGATGGGGCTCTCTGAGGCGAGGAGGAGGAGGAGGCGGCGGCTGGAGCGGCCGCTGCCGCCCCCGGAGTGGCCGCCGCTCCCTCTACCTCATGGAGG